CTTATATTATATAATGCAAAATTTTACAGTAAAATCAATTGGGACTCATTTTGAAGTATTTCATTTTACAGTCAGTTTACTAATCATTATTGTTGTTGTTGTTGTTGTTGTTGTTGTTGTTGTTGTACACACTACACTGTAGTACTGTACAGTGTAAACTTTTGTACATATTCATATAACATTTACCTCATTAATTTTAATTATATATTAACACCACGCAGTCACAGTAGTATATTTTAATTCTATACAAGAAGTTATGAGTTCACTTTAAAATATACAACTACTGAGCAAATATTTATTTTTTTAGACAATTTGAGAAAATGCAATTCAAGATTGAATGTGTACAAGTTTCACAATGAAAACCTTGTCGTTGCTGATTTTGGTCAATAGTTGTTAGAACAATTATTGTATGGTGATTAAAAAATAATAGAAAAACAAACGTCTAACAATAATTAACAAATCCCTTATTCGTTTACTCTTAGAATTTAATGCAATTCTTGTGCATTTTCAACTTTTATTAGTAGGTTGCTGAATTGTTAATAAGTGATTGAATAATGTTCACTTTCGTTTTAAACTGGTAAGGTCCGCTATTTTCATTAATAAGATAACAAGCATTTTATAAAAAGGAAAATACTATAAACGATGATTATCGACTGTTACAAAACAGATTAAACTCAAAGTTTTTAAAATGACAATTTGAAGGAAGATAGGTATTAAATTTATTAGTTATATAATATTGTATCAATACCTATTGACTATTTATAATATAACCTATCCAGTGGTGTACATCTCATGAATCATGGCGTCGCGGTCTCGTGGTCGTGACTCCCTTTTGAATAAAACTAGCATTCGTGCACTTCGTTGCCCATTAAAAAATTAGTAATGCCAATCAATGGCGTTTTTCTGTTCTTTCCCACTAATTATTATTATTATAAATCAATAACAACCATTTATAAACAAAAATGTCCATCGTAATAATTTCAAAATCACTGTTTGAGCAGCTTCCCGTTTTGGACATATCGGGTCCAATTGTGAATCTAAATCTTCCACGGAACCACTATAACACACCCAAAAATGTTCACTAAAATCGGTCCAGCCATTTGGGCAGGCAGAAAGGACAGACTGACAGACATTCATTTTTATACAATGTATAGATTATTATATATTTATCATATTAATATAATTACTTTTGAGGTGGCTGAGTAGGGGAGAATTTATTTCAAGATTATATGTTTTGAATATACTCTGTGCTCTAGTGCTGAACCTAAGATGTTATAAAATATATAGTCAAATAAACATCTGTACAAGTTCTGCAACAATACTGCAATTACATGCTTACGAGCATCAGATTTCCTTGCTTTACAAGTAAGTAAATGTGCATTTTATGGTTATTAAATTTTAATTTTTCCTGTTTAATTAACCGATCTACTAGAGTTACGTAAAAACATAATGAGTAATAATTTTTAAGGAAAATAAATTAGTATGATGATGATATTATTTTTTTTAATATACATAAAAGAATATGCAGTGCTGTAAAATATTCAAATACTCAGTTTTAAAATAATTAAAAACATAAAACTATTTATAATTAATGAATAAGCATAATATGTTTAATGTATTTTTTATTTCGTTTATTGTATTCAGAAAAATTGTATATTACCTACCTAATTAAATTTATATTTTATTAAAATTGGTTTCCCAAAGTGCGGGTATGATTTAAAAATTAAATACGGACATCCCTTTTTTTTTAACCAAGATAGTACTCGAACTGTAATGGAAAAGTATTTAAAATGAATATTCAATATTATCTACTTTTAGAAGTATTCTATTCTACCTATACTTTTTTGCATTATATTTAAAATATTTTTTGAAAACAGTATGGAATTAAATTAATACTGTGGTAACACTGTTGCGTTACGAAAAAAAATTTTCTGTAAAATAATATATATGCATAATTTTATTATAATAAAATAAATTATAATACAAGAAGTCCTCATGAATTAAATGATTTACCAAGTGCTAAGGACAATATTATTATTTTCAACCGGGGGAAATTCCTGCCTATGGTGGAATTCATTAATTTAAGTAATTTCTGCATAAGGGGTAACATTAGAGTAGTAGACAATAGAGCTAATTTACAACCTGAATGATTAAAAGGTGGTAAAATAGGTAACAGCTCTACTGTACTAGATGTATCGAACATACCTCGTTAGCGAGCAAGTCACTATTTAATGTAGGTGTTAAATTTGATTTCAATGATAAATTATTGTATACTAAAAATCTGTATTACTAAAAATATAAACTGAAAATGTCATAGTATGTATAAAATATAATAATATACTATACTATAAGTACTCACGAATAATATTTGTATTCTTCGTTTAAATATCTAATTTCGTTCAAATTTGAACTTTATATGTCGAAAATATAAATTATATAAGTCAATAGGTATTGTCTATATACGTTTTTCAGATTTTTTGGTTCCACTGTGAAGTGATAGTGGGGAACCTTGATTCAAACATAAGCTATAAAAATTGAACATTTTATCAACATTTTAACTTTAAATGATAATAAAAAAATCGTACCTATGTGTCATTAATTCTTTTAAATGACCATAATAAAAACGTACGAGGAACCTTTTATCACATTCTCAAGGTGCTTGATCGAGAAAAGATTTTTTATCGACATTAAAAAAAAAAAAACTAAAAAAATCCATAATATCAAATGTCCATGTACGGCTCAAAAAGACTCAAAATAATTAGATCATATACATAGAGTATGTTAATATAAATATTTGATGAAAATGGCATGTATCTTTGGTAATTCGTTTTTGAGTTGGACCAAAAAAAAACAATGAATTATGTCGAAAACTGGTTTTAAAAATTCCTATTTTTTTCTCAATTTAATTTTGGTAATGTTGTGTGGTATTGTTTGGACGCATATGTTTAAATTGTTAGTTGAAATGTACAAAATGAAAATGCTTGTTGTCTGGAACACCTAGTTTCTACATAATTGCAAATGGTCCATTAAGGGGCATGAGCAGTATGGAATAATTCTATGAAAATTAATTTTTGTATTTCCAATAATATGGTTTATCTAGAGATTTGAGAGTAAAAGCGTCAATTGCCATTATTGTACAAGGGAAGTTAATCTGTGCCTGTATAAAAGTCAATTTTCGATATCTTAGTTACTAAACTCAATAATTCAAATTCAAAAAGTTTTAGAGCTAAATATTGGACATTTAAAATAAAAATACGAAAATCTACTCATATACAGGCCTAGACAAACATCCTCTCCTCAATATTTGTATACTAAGTGTCCATAATTTAATGTCACTCAGTAAGCTATATTGATGGAAATACGAAACTATAAGGTTCAGTGTTTCACTAGAATTCACATTTATAATTAGTGTAATTATTGGCATATTATTAAGTATAAATAAATATATATACGTGCACGTGCGGGAGTTCTTCACTTTTTTATTTTATACACAGTTACTCACACTCATAAAAACTTACTACACACACATTTGCACAACCCGCATACACGCACATAGCAAATTGCCTATATTGAACTCCTTAGAAAAGGTCGGAATTGATACCAATTAAACATAGAGAATATTAAACATATGAGCTAGCCTAAATATATGGACAATTATACCAATAATATAATTAACATAACAATCGATGTAAAAAAAAAAAAAAGCAAATTAGATGGACTGGTAGGACATAATATATATCATTATGTATGCGATTTCATATAGGTACCACCATACCAGTAACATTATGTATAGGAAGTAGCGATAATTGTATCTATTTGATTATATTGATTTTTAATTTTTATTAGTTTAGACTAAAGCTTTAATTTTGAATGGGGCTAATGTCATAAACGGAGAAATTTCTAAAATATACATTGTGCCGACGGAATCCATCCAAACTCGAGTGACTATCGTGTAGTAACCATTTAATCACATAGAGCGCGTTTTGTAAAACTGTATCCTCAATGTTGACGATTTGTAAATTAAAAATAATACAATGAATGTTTTGACTAGACAGTATTATATTGTTAAAACTATTTAATGCTTTGATAATTTTAAAGAGTAAAACATATTCAAAAATGAGTTTCTAACCAATGATATCGATAGTAATTTATTACAAATACTGTAATACTTTATCATATTCTACGACAATTTCTTAAAAAGAGTAAGCCACCAAATGGGTATTTAAATTTGCCTGGTATACTTAAAGTCAATTTTAATATATATGACATTGATCTAGCCATCCGATTAAAAGTACCTATAGTATAGTGAATAATAACAAGACTTAAAAGTAATTTATTTCATGCTAATTAGTAATTACTGTCACATATTGTCAATATGATACCACTTTTTGTATGTCTCAGTGTTCTGCTGTGATTAACATGGGTATAACACTATAAGATAAATGACTAGGAAAAGAGAGCAATATTGTTTTTTTTTCAATAAGATGAATGTGTATCATACCATATGAGTTGTAATAGTTTTGTCTTAGATTTTAGTTTATAGGAAAATTAAGGTGTACCCACAATTAATCTACAATATTATACGAATACAAATACAACAATTATAATTCCAAGATCAAACCTACGCGCCTACACGCATAACACAGTACCTATTAATAAATCTAGAAAAGTTTAACTCCGAACCAATGCTGTACAGTAAAGGTTAATATCTAGCGGTGAAAACTTTTTCAAACACTTCAGTAAAAAAAAAAAAAAAAAACAATACATAACAATATTGATAAGATGGTATTTCGTAAAAACACAATATGCTATTGTCTACTGGAGTCATTGAATCATTTTGTATTTCATTTTATTTGTATAAAATTACTGCTATTAGGTAGGCACCTACTTAGAACACTACAAAATTAAATAAAGCAAATGAGTCTTCGCAGTCAAACAAATACAATTCTACATAAACAGTGTTTTATTTACATGAAATGTAATAAAAAGATATTTATAAATGTTTTTAAATGATTTTATTTCATTTGGCCATAATAAGAAAAGGAACATACAATAAATAAAAACAATTATTGAAAAAAAATTAACAATTGCTCGTAGTTAATTTTAACGGATATTTAAATTATATGATTAAAAACTCGGATGATAATTATTCCTAAGCATAGAACCTAAGTCTGTATTAAAGTGCACAAGATTAAATGTTTAAGTTACAAAAATAAAAAATCTGATCACAATGTGTTTGGATATAAATGCTTGATGTTCAATGAGTACCTACAAGACGCGTTTTCGCTTTGGTACATGATACAAAATATAAATGTGCAGACGAGATCAAGCATTTGTTATTTTTTTAATGTGTCTTTTACACACGATTTATAGGTCATACATATTTAAATTAACATTATACAAAAATATATTATGGGCTAAATTATAAATTATATTGCACTCGACATGTTATTGAGCGTTGCATTGTGCAAAGAGATGCTTTTTCTTTTCGGAAACGACATTAGCACGAAGTAACAATTAGCCGGACGCCATTTGGATGCTGGTCCAGGTCTTCAATCGATGACCCAACTGTCATAGGGGACTCTGCTGAATAAGTTGTCGATGAACGACTTCATGGCAACCATGAGCTTCTTTTTAATGTGTGGCTTCATTTCCTTGAGGAGTTCTTGTGAGTTTGAATTGATGAACAAGTTCAATGCGGCTTCTGTTATATAAAAAGTACATAAAACGTAAGTACTTTACTTTACCAATAATGACAAACATTATTGTTACTAAATTTACCCGTAATTGGTATTTATCAAAGTAAATATGATGTCATTTGTACTACCGATTAGTTGTTAAGTTGTTTAAATAAGAATAATGTAAGTATATTCAACGGGTATAATAATATCGTATAGGTACATCTATTTTCTAATTAATCATAAAAACAAAATATCAGCAAAATAAGTGTTCTAATTTTTCAATCTATATGTATATCAGACTCGAATTCAGAGCACAGTTTTAAAACACATTGATTATAAATCAGTATGTCTACATAATATTTATAACAATGATAGAATCCAGTAGTAAGCACTTATATACTATCTTGCATTATTACCCTCCCCCCTACCGGGTCCATCTCTGGTTTATATGTTATAGTTTGTTTATACAATTAGTTTGTATTTTTTAATAGGTTAAAAAAAATTCAGTACTAAAAAATTGCTTTTACCTAAAACAGCATTTCCGTTGTGAACATTTTTGATACCCATCTGAATATCTTTAACGCTAAAGTCCATTTTCAAATCTTCTAAGTGCAAGAATTTTTGAGAGTTACGTTCTACTTCACTGGCCTTGATGTAGACTTTGGCTTTAACACCCTCTGTAAATAATACAGAGAATTATGGTAAGCATGTTTAATGGTAAGTATTAATTTTCTCTCCGAATGTTCCTTACCATATTCTCCCCAGTATTCACCGCCGCCGGTAGCTTGAACCATAATCAGAACTCCTGAACTTCTGTAATGGGCAATAGCTGAAATTTTTGGGATCGAGAAGGTAAGTTGGAATTGCAGCGAATTCAGGTCAGATCTATAAAACAAAACATAAATATATTATATAATAATTACTCTTTGAATTTGTTTAATATATTAATGAATATATTAAAGAACACCAAACGGCAAACATGATAATTTAAAAAAAAAACAAAAAACAAAAAAGGTCTTTAATAGGTTGCACCTATAATAACGCAGTGAGCGTTATGAAAACTATATTTTTCATTATTCGTTTCCTAGTATAAAGAAATTATTTAAAATAATACTGAAGAACTATATTTTCAAAAGTAAAGGAATGTCTGAACTGCTAAGTTCAGATTTTAATTTAATACATAAATATATAACCGGCAACGAAATAATATTGGATGTCTGAGTACAACATCATACACAATATCGTGTAATGTTCTTGATTATATACTAAAAGTTGAAATTAATAGTTAATAGTTTCTAGGTAAATATTTTACACACAATTTCAATGTACATAGTTATACACTGTCTGTTGCAATAATTAACGCCTCGTCGTCTAGTCTTCGTTTTGCAAAAACGTCGTGTAAAAAGCACGAAAAAATCGACAATACAAATGGAAGATAAAATAATATGAATATGAATTACAATAAAATATTAATATCAACTAACATAGGTTTTTGTCTTAGTGAAATGAGGCGTTACGAAATTTCGTCCGTGTTACGGTTTAAGTGTATCAGTTATACACTCAAAAATAATTGGCATCATTATATTATTATACTATGGTCATTAAACTATATTGTTTCCACTCCGATTAATATCATCACTCCGAGGCAGTAACAAAGTGACTATACATTTTTATAACCAATAGCACTGTTGTACGTCGAGCCTTGCAAATTAAAAATCCCATCCGGGTCGTTTCGGATATTCTAATTATATTTTCAGAGTTCTGATTTTCCGCGTTTTAGAACTCCATAACATATTCTTTGGATCGAATGTAATTTTTTTTTTTTTTTTGAAACTTTTATGAAAATCGTGTAGCGGTATAATAACAACATTACTATTCATATCTATGACCAGTAAGACACTGTAATGATGATAATTATTATTAATGGCTTTCAGTGGGTGTACCTGACTTGGTTGACGGTCAGGTTGCTGACACCGAAAGCTTGGATATCTTTGAACGTGGCCCTGTACCCGTCCGGGCCGGAGCCCAGCGACAAATTGATTTCGTCGATTATGATTGGTTCCACCTCTTCGATGCCCAGCTCGGGAATTCCTGCGGACCAAACGAGACGTCGAGTAAGTTTAAACACATTATACATACAAAACAGTTGAAACTCTGACCTAGTACCCATGTATATTATAGGTTACCTACTCCCGGACAATGGCGTCTGCCTAACCATATACCTTCGTATATAATATGCCTGATATAGTGCGTGTTACATGCGGTTAGGTAGTCTGGTCACCGAACGTCAGGACTCGATCGGTATGCAAGGGTGTGCCTATATACCTACTCATTTGTTACGTGAGCGGCATTCAGAGAGAGAAAAGAACCATGGCCGCGTGCGCTGAATTCTGTAGTGGACGGACTTTTGTCCGCCGTACGAGCCGTATTCCTCGGTTCGATTTCCGTTTCACCCACATAATATTATATCACAAGTACCTATTTATTTATTATCGTGTAATTATCATACGTGTATTTTAGTCGGGAACCGCCGACGAACGATTTAGTCGTACCGCGTGTTAGAATAAAATATATAATATAGTGGTAATGTGGTACGAGTGGCAGATGACTACAGGTTAAGACCATAGCTCGCCGTGCACACAGCCCCCATCGTTCGTGTGTAAAACCCGTCGAGCCCATAATACAATATATTTCCTATTTGTAACTGTACAAACACTAAAATATGTTTAAGCCCCGACACACATCGATACAGACGATAATAAGTGATTCTAAATAATATAATATATATTTCGGATGTTTTCTTCACTCGCGATCTGTGCCGGTACTAGTTTCACTTCCCGTATCTATAATCGCGGCCGGCACCTAACAATTTGTCGAGTTTTGAGAAAGTCGCCACGGGTCACTTTTACATTTTGAAACACTTAAATACGCATTATACGCCCTCGTTACAGATGTATAAATCGGCGAAACCTATTGCTCTACAAACGACGTTTCGACCGAACTACAAAACTCATCGGTCATCGTCGCGTCGAGATTTTAAACTGACTTTAATGTCGATGACATGGCCTAAGCAGCTGTAGTATAGATACCTATGGGTATCTTGTTGGTTTATCTCGTTACAAAAACTCACCTTTCCGGAAGTGCATAGCCAAATGGTTGGCTGAATAAGTCAAACATTCATTTACATTTGGGCTAGACCTTTGGCACGGATGTATGTAATAAGCTGCAACATAAACCAAACAAATCATAATTATTCTATAATATTTGAAATGTTAATATTCTCGTCAATATTTGTCATTTTTTTTACAAGGTTAAGACTTGGTGCCGCATGAAAACCCTCAATAGTGTTTAAAGCGTCGAGATTAAAATTTGTTTGTCGGGAAGGACAGTAAAAAAGGATTTAAAAAATATCTATTCCCACTTCAATTAAATCGATGCAAGTAGTTGGTAATCACTAATCAGCAATCATTAATCACAGTCCAAGAAACATTAGAATGAACCAATTAAAATCGAGACAATAATATTGTAAAAACATTCTTACCTATTTCATGTTCTTGTTGTCTGGCTTCTGAAAGTCCAAAGCCAATTATTACGGCTAATGCCAAGTGCAGAGTGGTATGCATTTCTGAAAAGAAACAAAACTATAATTTATATATCTCAATCGATGACTAATCTAACAAAACACGTGGTATTTCATTAACAGAAGGTCTTATAAATATTGTTTTTATTAAAAATTAATTTAAATGTACTACAATTATGACTTCAATAATGTTGTATTATTGTGTACTTACATACTAAAGAAAACCAATATGAACGTATTGAATTCCTCTGAATATAAACTATTGTTATAGAATATTTTTAGTATAATATTATTTAAAATAATTTTCATTTCCACATTTCCATTATGAGGTGGTTATTTACCTATACTTCTATAAATCGCATTTCATTTTATTTTTTTAACATTTTAAAACATTTTAGTTTCATAGATGTAAGTAAATTTGTAATAAATGTAATAAATCATTTATTTATCATAACCTTTAAGTATTGTTATTATAGTTCTCAATTTCTATTGATATACATAGAAAAATATGAAACCGTAATTTATGAAATGTTGATGGTTATATATTTATTTTTCATCAATTTTTAACGATTTAAATTTGAATTTGTAAACCAAAACTTGACGTGCACAATAGTTAGTAGTCTGTTATAGAAATCATTTTTCATATAGGTACATTTTACCTACAATAAATGCCCAACACAATATTATGTTTTGCGCCTGCAGCGTATCTTGACTTAATTGAGATTAGGTTCATCACCGACCTGTTAAAGATGCTGTAGACGACCCGGTGACCGTTTAAGGTCATGCGCATTCAACTCGGCTTGGTTCAATGCCACTGTGTCGTGAAATTTCAATAGTGTAGGTTAGTAAATAAACGAATATGAATATACGAAAAACTTCGAAATATCAGGGACAACGTCCGGAAGACTTGAAATTGTAAGAATATCATATTGGTATAGGTACACCATATTTTACTTGCACAGAAAAGTCAACAATTTGAGTTGGAAGGACAATTAATTTTCGTGACGACCTTGATTTCATAAGTCACACTGATCATTCTGATTAATATTGTTTAAATATTTATAAAGATATGATATCATACATTATTTATGTATTATAAGTTATAACATGTGCCAATATTTCATACATATTAAGTATTGATTTCGAAAATTCACTGTTTTTAGAAATGCTATTAAGCTTTATGCGGAGTAATAATTTGTAGTGTTCCCTTAATTCTCAAACTGTTCGAAATTTAAAAATGTTCAGATTAGATATAGATCCAATTTCCCAAAAAAATATTAATAGCGCTTAAGTCTAGGTGCTTATTAGTTAATAATAATAATTATTATTATAGTAACATTTTCAGTAATTCTGTTGTTTTATTTATATTATACATGTATTGTATTAATAAATTATATAATGGATAACATAAACATGTATTTAAATTATGCTACCTACTAAATATAGGTAGGTACTCGTATATTATAAACTTGAAGTAAAAAAGGTTATTTTCAGTTACTTGTGCTAGAAACTAATAACTTAAAACTTGTTTCACAAATAATACAAAATGTAATTAAATTGTGAAATTTAAAACCAAACGACCTTTTTTCCACTGTATCAAGTACTATTATCTTAATATATTATCTAACCTAACATTAAAATGACATGCAAATACAATGCAGCTAAAAGTAATTGACAACGGAGCTGCAAAAAAGATCGATAAAAAAATTTAATTATTTTTGTCTAAAGTAGCTAAGTAACCTAATGTTTACGGATTCTATAAAAGGTTTTTAGTTCTATAATTACAAGTAACGGTACAAATTTCTTCATCAGGATCAAGACGTTTAGCCTTTAACTGCATTCGATTAAGATATATAAAAACTTTTGTTTTCTTTATTGTGTAGGTAAATTTATTTATTAAACATTATTTATTTATTTGGTTGTTTAGGATAACCATGAACTGCATAATAATTTTCGAATAAGCTCCACAAGAGTCTTCTCCGGGAATTATTTAAATTAAACGAACTTGACCATAGGTACCTTCCACAAAAATCTGTCATCTGACAGGCACAGCACTGAATACGATTTTACAAACTGTTGTTGGTCGAACGTAATTTTGAACTTTTTTTGTGTCAATTAAATGTTAATTTTTGTATTAAAATCATATCGAGTCAGGATGTCAAATTGATGATTATAAGCTGGATTTAAAAATCCAAAATATTTTTTTTGTAACTGCCTATCATAATAGTATTCAGCTATTGCCACTCTGTTGGGCACCTTGGAGTATTTATGAGAAGCACCTACAATGCACCTTTATATTATATTATTACGTTTATCTTTGCTTGAAAACAATTATATTATCTTGTGGCTTCTTACAGTGGCAATAGTTACTTTTCGGGCAAGTAGTAGTCAATAACCCGGTAAAAAGACTTAAAAATAAATAAATATTTTTTATCGATTTTTTTGTACACCGATTTTGTAATAACTGCCAAAGTAGAAAAAAAACAATGATAAATCTTTCGAAGAGGACGAATTAATATAGCGTGTAAAGATACTGTTTTCAGTAGCCCACAATATTTCGAGAGCGTTCTACCGTTCTACGTAAAACTAGGAGTTTGGAGGATTTTGAGATATTTTAATGTAAGAGGGTTAATTATTGTGGTCATTCAAATCGAACGAGCGGCGACATTGTCAAATAGTCCTTATTTATATATGGTAATATCATTACGCCACATCGTCGGCCGACTTACCCGTTGATCCTCGGAATTCGCGTGTACTGCAGCGAATGTCCTGTCCCGCACTCGTAAATGACCCGTCGCCAAAGGATATCGGAGGATATTGTGTGGATTGGTCGGTGTGCGTTTGTCCTCCGCGTTTGGACTTGACTGCAACTCGGCGGTGGCCCGCAAAGTCTTTTAATAACTCGGAGCGCTCTCGGCCCGTGTGGGGGAGATCCGTCGGTCCGAAGACCGGTTAGCTGCTCCTCCGCGCCCCCACCGCGCCGACATTCCAGCGCACATGACGCGTGTCCGGCGGACGGACGGTCTCGCGATGTCGAACGCTTCTTGGAGAACGCGAACGAGGAAAAACCATTGTGTCTTAAATGTTTATTTTTTATTTTTTATTGTTTATCCGTCAGCGGATTGTCGACGTATATATGTATTAATATTATCGTCATATCACACGACGCTGTCGCAATATACCGGAAATCTATACGATAACAATTAATAGGCGTTACCCAAATTATAGGTTAGGCAGGTGAAGAGTGAATCGTGAGCGATTTCAGCCTGTAGCCCCATGTTCGCGGGGTCTGTATAGACAGACCAAATCATCAGGAGGGGGAAACTGAATTTCGGGAGAGCGGACATACTCAAAATAAGTAATTGTGACAATTGTTTATTTCATTGTTTCGCATAATATTGAAATACGATTACCATAATTTATGACCACGATATAATCAATCGATATCCAAGAGGGGAAAATTGTAAACATGTATGATGAAAGCAAATTCGTACACTTGTAACATTATTTTATACATTTCACAACACTCGACACTCTTGCAGATACTTCATCTTATCGCGTAAAATATCGCTTACGCATTTCGTTACGGAGGAATAATTGATACATTTTAAATTCGAAAATCTGCCGATGGGAGCAACGGACGCGGGTGTTATCGGTGTGGCAATGCCCCCCTTGACCCTGTGGCTACATAACTGAGAGTGGTTTGCACATTTGGGAGAAAGTCGTCGGCGTGTGGTTTGCGCATTTGGGAAAAAGCCATGACGCGGATGAATGAATGTTTCCGGCTATTCGCTAGAACGAAAAATGTTTTCAATTACTTACGTATAAATGTATAGGTACATAGGTATATACTGACTTGCTGGTAAGTAAATCGTACACAATTCTTTCAACCTATCGTTGTGCAGTGGTCGCGAAGGTATAGGTACTATCAGAATAACAATAATAATGTATAGTACATATATAATAATAATATGCACGATAGCATTAGAGTAATATTCTATATATGAGAGGCTTGTGTTTCCGGACAGACGCGCGTTTCTTTTTTGGCTTTTAAAGTTCAAAGAGATTTCTTGATTATATAGTTTCAAACGATAAATTGAATATACTACAATTATTAATAGCTTTTCATTTTTAGAAACTAGATATACCGACTTTCAAAACATTCTGAAATAAATAATAATATAGTATACAATAACACTGTATAAAATCTAAAAGTTTTATTTTTATTAGTTTGAATTAGGTATGTTGGTCCAAACCCAGCGAGGCTTAACGTAAAACGTCTTGTTGTCGAACCTCGAACACGATAACAGTTTGTGTTTACACAATTAATCCTCCGTCGTCGGGCTCAATAAATTCGTTTCAATCACACTCTCTCTGCCTCTCTATAGTCAATACTACTAAAATAATTAAAAACATTTATTTGCGTGAATAATATAATTTACGACTGCCTATTGTGTGCATATGATTCGAAATGTCATGTTAATTTAACAATAAAAAAACAAAACACACACATCGATATTTTTGCGGGACATGTGATCGACGATTTGTCCAAGGTAAAAAAAAAAATACTGGTAAAATATTTGTTGACAATCTGGTGCTAAACGTATAAGTAGGTGTACACCTTTAACGGCTTTGAGTGAAAATTTAAGAAAGCGTTCTGCCGAGTCACTCTCAATACTGTTTAAATGTTTCCAGTAGCAACTTACTGTTTTCGTTCGGATATGAGTACATAAACAACATTTCGTAAGATTGACAGTAGATGCGAGGCCCCGAGACAAGAAACCATCACTCGGGAGAGGTACCTAATTATTTTTGACGCGTGTTCATACATAGAAACGGAATGTAAATACAAGTTCAAGGTCTCCGGTATTGTTTTCTCGTAATGATCGTATGTAAAAAAAAATAATAATAAAATAACCTGTCATCTAGACAATATAATATTATATTATTATGATACCACAACGACTCGCCCCAGACACTCACGCTACGTTAATTATTATAATATATTATTCATCACGGATATGTTATTTTTACGCCTGAAATGGGTAAATGGCCTCTAACGATTATAATATTACTACAGGCCCTGTTGCAGCAGGTACACGCAATGGCGCATAATAAAAATCATACTTACGTTAAATTGTTAGTCGTATTTTTAGATGGACGCAAACGCCTTAAATAATTCTCAGTTTTTGTTTCAATTAACGGCTATTCGCTAACCATCGTGTTGACACTTATCAGTTGTCATCAGTCTTGATTCAAGATTGACACATCAAGCACCCATACACAATATTTTATGAGACCATGTGAGAATAATATGTGATATTATGCTCATACGGGTTTTCAAATGACATCTGTAGGTTCAGTCGTCTCGGGGATAGGAAAGCATTTTAAATACATTATTTTGACGATATCATTCTCAGTATATATGTATTATTATATTAACACTAAGTCATTGAGTAATATCGATCAATTAGACATTTTAAAATAGTATGCATCTATATTCCTAATCATTATAATTACCTAAGGATTAATCATCTAATTTTATTAGATTGTTTCCTGTAGCCGAAAATCAATAGTAAAAGAAACCACAATATTTGAAATTTTGAAAATACGTTGCGGTACAATACCGTTCAGCATTTCAAATTCAGATGAATATAATACTATATAATGTCTGTGACCCGTGCACAAAAGAAAGCCGGATCATTAATATGTGACAATAATTAGACGAAAAATGTAATTTCTTATTTCATTAAAATCGGTCCATTAGTTTAGGAGGAGAAAGCTTTAATAAATTGACGTTAGGGAGAGGAATAAAAGTTCACTCCTCAACAATAAGGAAAAATAGCTGCTATATACAACAGTAAATTACGAGTAGCATTTAGTAATGTATTTACAAACATGTATTATGTACAGTGTCAGTACATACCCACAACGTGTACAATTTTGAACTTACTTGAGTGAATCTATCGGTTCGATATTAAAAATATGATAATTAGATTATTGGGTCGTCGTGATTCGTTCCAATAAGAAAAATGAAAGATCGACGATTTTCTTTTTTTTTTTAAATAATTGTAACCTCTATTTAGTACAAATCTACGATTCAAGTTAATACATTTAAACAGCTATATATTTTGACATTCGTCGAATTTTCAATTCTTATACAGGCATATATGGGTAAATATAATATAATGATAATTAAAATATATATTTAATGAATTTTTACAAAATAGCTAAATAAATTTAAGCATGGATATTGATTAACCGATAGTTAAATCTTACAAAGCTACATCTATAATTTAAAACTGATTATTATCCATTTTTAATAATCAAATATGATTGATTTCACCAACTGGTTTTTTTCATAGTAGAATTTTATTTTTTTTCAACATCAATAACACATATTGATCTTAATGTTTATTATAACAAATTTAACGAATGTTGTATTCAATATACCTACATTGATGAAAATGTATTGGTAAACAAGAATATAAGACATATGATGTAGGCCTGTAGACGTTTGTTGCACAACACTGAACTTTTCCAAATAACTAGTATTTTTGTTTAAATTGTTTACTCTTTACAGATATTTTAAGTTTTTAATAGCTTCTGAGTATAAATTATTAATTCTGACATAGATACCTATACATAATTACTTGTTTTCTGAAAATTAACTATTTTATACTTCGAAAAATAATAGTATTAAATAGGTTATAGAGTTCTAATAGATATTTGTATAGAAATAAGTTGTATAATGTATATATAGTGGTTGGTATTGACATCTTTATTCTGAAGGATTTTAATAACAAGCTCTTATAGACGTCATAACAAATAATTTGCTGCCTATTTTTATTACTAATACAAAAATGATTTTAAATATTTAAAGTGATTTTAATTACTGACCTATATTAATAATTAAATTAAAACTAGTATATAATTTAATGATAAAGATTACTGTCAATACATTTTAATTTTCTAGGTATATAACATTTTAAAATACATAAAATTATAGTAGTACTAGTCACTACTCTTTACAATTTAACAATGGTGCGATAACATTTCTGATGCGTTGTAGATTTTTACATCCGTATGCCGGCATGAGCATTGATTAATGAATATATACTTCCAGTATTTTAAATCAACGGTATGAATGAAAATCATGAAAAAAAGTTTTGTAATTTATATTTTAATATATTTTACAGTAGGCAATACAGCTATATATATATAAACGCGTATGACCTACCAAGTTTTTAATATAAAAAAATATATCAGTTGCCTTAAAAAATTCCAAAGATGATTGTGGTTTCGCCAAAAAGAGTGAATAAAATAAGTACAACATAAAATTGATCTTAACTTTTCGAAATAGTGATTGTTTGCCTTTTAAAGGAAATATTCCTTCTGTGTATATAATATTTAGGGATCGTCATCTATAAGAGGAAGCATTGTTTACATATGCAAAAGTATTGGGAAATTTTCTCGATTTGGAACCGGTCAAGGTTGTTGGTCATTAAATATCTTTACAATTATTTAATTAACTACTCAATGATGTTATTAACACTTGTATACAATGCTTTAATACATGATCGAACAATATAAACCAAATAATAAAAATAAAACATTTTCACAATTACACAGTCTTTAAATATTATTAAATAACATTGAGGAATATCATCAAACCGTATTTACTCTTCCTTGATTATATTATGTGTGGGTCATCGTCAATATATATCTCAAATTAACATATTATTTTTGATTGTTCCGGAATTATTTATAATTTTTTTAATCATTGACTACAATACATCATATCTAATATATATCACATATTGTAAACACACACACGAGCTTATTAAAATTATCTGACATTATGAGGAACAATATATTT